TATCTCGACCATGGTACGAAAACGTACGTTAATCATATATTTAGAGAGAGAATTAGAAACTAACTAAATAAATAATATCAAAATCGAATTAACTACGATCGGAAAACTAAGATTAACCGCGCAAAATTCACAATGTGGATTCGACGAATCGATATATTGTCATTTAATGGTAAGGATTTCTTTGTTTCCATGATAACAGATCTCTTAATTTCATTAAGAAATAATTGTATTTTTTTTAAATATAATTATTAATTATATTTCACTTCTACTAGTTATCGTGCATGTAGTTTCATGCATTATGTGGGAAAGTATACGTATGATAATTATTGTTACTAATCTAATAATTAGATAGATATTAAATTCTCCCATGTAATATCTACACTAAGTTTTGGAGAGCAACACAGAAAATCCGTTAAGGCCGAGACGAATCTGGATTTGGCAAACCACCGTCTAATAGGCGTTCTTGTCTCTCGATTGATTTTCGGATTATCCGACGGGATTCTGGGCAACGGCAACTACGATCCTTTTGTTCCTTTCGACTCTTCCCGGTTTTCCTCCCTCCCTTCCTCTCTCTCTCTTTCTTTTTCTGTTTTCTTCGTCGCGCTTTCGAGAATCTCGAAGGAATCCCGCTCTATAGCTACGCTCGATATAGCCGGCAGATTGGTGGCACTTGTGCGGTCGAGCGATTAAGTGGTTTCAAGCGATATTCTCCAAGAAAATTGGCGAGGTTTCGAGAGCAGACCCGAGTTTTAATTAACCTCTGTCTTCCCGCCAGCGTTTTGCAGGGTCGTGAGCTCTCACAGTAGCCGGTACTCTTCTCGGGGTTCGCGCTACTCCGAAATTACGCGTGGCCACCTAACCCGAGTTTCACTTCGGAGGGAGCAGCACGTTATTTCCTATATTTTTGCGGTGCAACGTGAGCTTGTCGATCCATGCCAGAATCAGGACGGATCCGTCGAAGAAATCAGCCAAGATATCTTGGGATCGTGATCGGAGTCGGATCGGCACCGTCATCGATCAGATTCGTACGACAAAACGTAAAATCAAAGGGCGCCCGTGTCGTGGGCATCGAAAGACGAGAAATAAGTGCCGCGTAACCGCGCGGCGATTTGTCCGGATCAGCGTCAGGCTAAGCAGATTACCAGCTCTCCCCGAACGAGCCGGCGACCGAGGACGTTTCTCAAGGAAGGAATCGCGCTGAGAGCGAGTGGTGAAATCGCTCGATCTATCGAGAGGTCGATCGACGGTCCATCTGTTTTCAGATCCTGCTAACGACGATGAAAACAGCACGAGGCTCCTACTCGTTGCGAGGGAAAAGAGTCGGATCTACACGTGTGGATCTATCATCTATCGATGGGGAACGTCGAACGAAGAAGCTCGAGGTGAACGAAGTCGACGAGTCTGAAAGTCGGATGGTATTCTATTCGGCCGGGATAAAAACGAGAGGACCATCGATATCTGGCCCGGTGCTTTCGTCGACTAAATATATCTCGACGCGAGGCGCACTCGCGGCAATAAAGAGACAGCCGAGGGTGTACGGTAATCTAAAGATACATAAAGCCAGATCGGCTCGAGAAGCAGCTTCTGCTTTGAACGCGCGATCCTTTGAAGTGGTTTTCGTTGGACCGTGAGTATCAAACGGATTCACCTGATTGTGAACCCGGATCGTAACCGTTCCCGTACAAGCGTGCGAGCGTGTGCGCGTGCTAGACGCGACCGCGAGACGTTCACCTAGAGAAAGGAAGACTCGAAACGACCGGAAACGATGCCGCAATGGCTTCTGCTTTGAGCTGCTGCCGCGATGGTAACGAAACGACGCAACGTCACATCGCCGCTGTTTCTTCGATCTCGCTGTTTCTTCGAAGGGAGGAAAAACGACGGTGCGAGGAGGATTTGCCAGCCTCCGCGGTGGTAATAACCAGCCGCATCGGGATTCGTCTAACGAAGTCGTTACGTTTAATTATCGCGCCTCTGCCGGAGCGTACCGATTCCAGGGGCAATTAACGTATTTGTGCGCGTATTGAGCGAGATCGCGTGTTACTAACCGACCGCGGTAATTAGAAACGATCGTCTGTCGACGGCCGATTTCTTGCATCGCTGCTCGATCGTCCGACCGATCGACCGCTTATCTCTAGGGAGATAAGATTTTTAGCGTGGCGAGAAGTTTTCTACGGATAAAAAAGAGAGAGAGAGAGA